ATTTATTTATTTATTCAATTTAAATATTATTTCAGATTTCAGAAATTTAAGCTCAATAAACTACTAATTAGCTGCTTATTAATAGTTATTATGGTAGTAGTTTAGGCATTAGGTAGTATTAGGGATGTAGAATAAGATCATACTTTATAAGTCCTAACAAACAAAACAAAAAAGTTTTATTTATTATTATTTTATTTATTTATTTATTTTTGGCTGGAATAAACAACAAAAAAGTAAAAATTGTTAAGGTCAATATTATTAAGGAATTAGAATAGAAAGACTTTTTAAAGAAATTGTTTTTAAAAATTTGTTTACAGAACAAACCAATGTTGTCCAATTAAGCCTTTAAATATTACTATAAGCCGTATACTAGTATCTTAAAGAATATCATTCGAATCAGTCGAATATTATTAAAACTATTATGTTTACAAATGTGTTAAAAATAAATCTGTTAAACAGCACTTGGGAAATATTTCATAAAGAATTAAAAAAAAAACAAGAGGGCTAATCATTTAATCTATAACTGTACATAGCTGCTGGTAAACTCTATTTGTGCAACGGCAATTTTCTGTTGCAAAAATCAGATTAGTGTTTTGTTCTTTTTTCTGGGAAACAATAGGCATCAACAATGAGAAGTGTGCAATCTCATGTAAAGGGTTCAGACTCCCGCAGTGTGTTTGATCGCAGCTATTCTCCAATACTTCCCTTTCTCTGCTGAGGAAGTGTGTTTCTCTTTTTAAGGAAGAAAACCTGTCCAAAAGGTTGTAGAGTAAAAATAGACTTCAGAACAGATTTGTCTGGCTGGTTATTCTGATGAATACACAATATAATATTGCACGTACAGTTGAAGATTATTAGAGCTACAGTGAAATTTGTATTTATTGTCACATGTTTCCCAAGTGTTGTTTAAGAGATGTTTTCAACACATTTATAAACATAGTATAACTGATTTCTTTTCTCTTACCCATGATGACAGCACATAATATTAGACTAGATATTCTTCAAGACACTAGTATTCAGCTTAAAGTGACATTTAAAGGCTTCACTAGGGTAATTAGGTAAATTAGGCAAGTGGTATCTAAAAAAATATATGTATAATATTTTTTACAAAAAAAGTATTTCATACTTAATTCAAAGAAATAAAACTTTATCCAGAATGAACTAATATTATAGGAATTTTCCTTTCATTCTCCTTCAGTTTAGTCCCTTTATTTATCAAAGGACGCTACAGCAGAATGAACCGTCAACCGTTCCTATGTTTTAGACAGTGGATGCCCTTCCAGCTGCAACCCAGTACTGGGAAACACCCATACACTCTCACATTCACACACACTTATACACTACGGCCATAGTTAATCAATTCCCCTATAGTGCATGTGTTTGGACTGTGATCGTAACCAGAGTATACTGACGAAACCCATACCAACATGGGGAGAACATGCAAACTCCACACAGAAACGCCAACTGACCCAGCTGGGACTCAAACCAGTGACCTTCTTGCTGTTATGCCACACACATATGTGAAGATCATTCATTCAATTTTTTTTCAGCTTAGTCCCTTTATTAATTTGGGGTTGCCACAGCGGAATGAACCACCAACTTATCCAGCATACCCAATTCTCCTATAGCGCATGTGTTTGTGAACACAGGGAGAACGTGCACAAAGAAATGCCAACTGACCCAGCCGAGGTTTGAACCAGCGACCTCTTGCTGTAAGGCAACAGTGTTAACCACTGAGCAACCATGCCACCTAGTCTAAATATTTCAAATTCAATTTCAGTTCCAGTTTATGTGTAAAATAAATAATAAATAAATAAATATGTTTGGCTGGCTGGTCTAATATTATAAATTGTCTATACACATATTATATGTACATTTTAGAACATTTCTATCTTGTTGTCTAAACATGCATAAATCAAAATACATTAACTGAGATGCAAATTTAATTGTTTATTGAAAAAACATTATGTATTCATACTTAAAAAATATTTGCCATTATTTGCTCATAACAATAAATATAATACATAACTTAAGGATTTTCTTTCTGAACACATTTTCACATATTTGTTCTTGTACTGAAAACTATTTTTTTTTTGGCAGTGGAGTGTTTATATTAATAAAGAGCAACCATGCAGTTTATTTAACATAGCGTGCAAAAAATGCTTTTCTTACTGAGAGTTTTTGTCTTGTTTCTAGTCCAAATATCTAACAATTCTTAAATCATATTTTTTTTTTTTGTCTAGAAAATGTTTCATTTAAGACTTAATATATATTTATACTAGAATCTAGAAAAAAATCAAGTGTATTGATTGCTTAATACATTATAATGCATTGTATCTCTACGCTCAATCTATTTAAAAACCAATACAGAATAATCTGTCAAGAAATTTATTGTACAAAAATATTAATCAGCACTTAAACAGCATTTGATTCACATCTAAATAATCATTAAATTTATATATACAAATAATCTGTTTACACAAAGCAAAAATATAAAATCACGAAGCTGTCAGTACTGTATAATCATTAATTTATCAAAGTCAGAACAATTTAGAGCGATTAAACCTCCACTGAAGGCAATTAGCATGAGCAGTCAGAAACATATCAGTTTAATTATATTAATCTCATTGAACACTACGAAATAATAACCTGCTACACTTCTGAAAATCAAGAAGATATTGCTGAAAAATTCTGTAAATGTTTTTCACAGTCTGTTTTACCACAAAAAAATAAAATAAAAACAGTTTTCAGGCTTAGTTTTTGTCTTGTTTTTATAGTCCAATATCAAAACATTTTTAAACCAAGAAGCATTTTCTAGATTGTTGTCAAATAAAAAAAATCTAATCATTTTTATTATTTTCAGAAATAATAAAGTAAAATCCAAAAGGATTTTTAATGACGTCATAATTTACTCACCCTCAAGCCATTCTCATTGACGAACTCAGTTATAGTTGTTTTAAATTTAATAGGGGTTTTGGATAGTGACTTTTATTTTGAAGCTTTGTTGTCAAGCTAATCCATTCACTGCCAGTTGGTTAAATGTCCCATGAAATAAAAAAAATGTTTTTTAGATGTTAATTTTAGTATGTTTAGTCTATGTTTAGTAATTTTAGTCTAAAGCACAGGTGTCAAACTCAGTTCCAAAAGGGCCGCAGCTCTGCACAGTTTAGTTCCAACCCTAATTAAACACACCTGATCAAACTAATTGAGTCCTTCAGGCTTGTTTGAAACCTACAGGTAAGTGTGTTGGAGCAGGGTTGGAACTAAACTGTGCAGGGCTTCGGCCCTCCAGGAATTGAGTTTGACACCCCTGGTCTAAAGGATGTCTATAATCTAGTGTGCTCCAAAACCAACACAGTCAATTCATAACTTTTTGATTTAGTGGCTAATTCATACGAGCTCATTCATATAATTTAGTACAATTTGCTTACCTCCAATGACAGTTGGGTTTAGGGGAGGAGTTGGGAGCCACGCCTCCTTTTTAAAATCATACATTTTCATATGACTGAACTCATATGAATTTGTACAAATACGGAAAAACAATGACATATTTCGCAATAGGAAGATATAAACTTGATATAACCATCTAAAGTTTGCAGTTTGCCACTTGGCATTGTGTACGCTGTAAAACCCAACAGTCAAATTTATCAAATAAAATGAGTGCAGTTAACTCAAAATTGACTGATAGTTAATTCTCCTCATTTGAAAAGAGTTTTGCATTTAGTGTTGAAGGTAAGGAGTTAATTAAATACCTCATTACTTCAACATAAATGGAGTAAGTTCACAGTACTCAGGGTGCTTTTACACCTACACTTTTGTTTCGGAACGTATCTCGTTTGCCCAGTTAGCGCGGTTCGATTGGCATATGTGAACAGGGCAATCGCGCTCTGTTCTGCGCTAAAGTAATCGCTCCCAATCGCTTGAATGAGGTGGTCTCGGCTCGATTGAAACGAACCCTGGAGCGGTTCGATTGCAGTGAGAAAGCGATCCGATCCGAGCGCGGTTATATCACAGTGTTTTATGGATATGTAATAGGCTTACGGCTATATGAAGAGAGAATTATGAGTATGGCGGGAAGTTTCGCGAGTCTCCGGATGCCCGCAAACGAGTGATGATCTCCCGGTAATCTGTCTCTCTCCCAGTCCTCAAATAGGCATCGTCGCGCACCCTTCTCACCCCTCCCCACCGTGTCTCTCCTCAGACACGTCACGCGCGCGCACCCTGTCAATCACCACCAAACCACCACCTCTCCTGACAGCTGAGCGGGACGCTGCAAAATAAACCCTGACACTCTGACCAATGTGAGGAGAGTTTACTCACACGTGACTTGTTTTAGCTCTTTTGGTCCGATTAGAAACTTTGCAGTGTGAAAGCGAACCGCTCCAAGAGCAAAGAGCAACAATGTAACAATTTTAATCCCTGTTTCGGAACAACTGAATCGATTCACAGGTGTGAAAGCACCCTCAGATTAGTTTAACTCAAATGGTTTCCTCAAACAGTTTGAGTTGCCTTAACTGATTGGGTTTTACAGTTCTTGGTTGGTTTGAGTTCTCTTCATTCATTGGGCTTTATTCATTCATTCATTTTCTTGTCGGCTTAGTCCCTTTATTAATTCGGGGTCGCCACAGCGGAATGAACCGCCAACTTTTCCAGCAAGTTTTTACGCAGTGGATGCCCTTCCAGCCGCAACCCATCTCTGGGAAACATCCACACACACACACTCATACACTACGGACAATTTAGCCTACCTGTACTGTCTTTGGACTTGTGGGGGAAACCGGAGCACCCGGAGAAAACCCACGCGAAGGCAGGGAGAACATGCAAACTCCACACAGAAACGCCAACTGAGCCGAGGTTTGAACCAGCGACCCAGCGACCTTCTTGCTGTGAGGCGGCAGCACTACCTACTGCGCCACTGCCTCGCCTCATTGGGCTTTACTGTGCTCAAATTGCTTCATTTACTCAAATGGATTAAGTTCACAGTACTCATTGGGATTAGTTTTTGAACTTGAATGGTTTGAGTTACCTTAACTTTTTACGTTTTACAGTGTAGTATTAAGGATTTAGAATAAGATCATACTTTATAAGTGCTAATAAATGTTTAATATCTTAATATTAGGCAGGATATAAATCAGAAGTAAATGAATGGTGTGAATTGTTACTTAAAATAAAGTGTTATCTGATATATATCTAGAAAATGCTTCCTGATTTAAGAATTTTTAGATATCTGGAGTAGAAACAAGACAACAACTCAAAGTCGTCCTGCTCAGAAATCCTCCTCCTTGTCGCTGTGTATCTGTGCGAGGTGTGATGTCTTCTTTTCGTCCTCCTGGTCTCGGGCCTCCGCAGGGTTTTCTCTGTCAGGACTGTATTGGCTCATTCTGTAGACGCTGTCCTCGTCCTCCTCTCGACTGGAGCTGCCGCCGCGGACGCTCTCGCCGTCAGATTGAGAAAGACGCAGTGGGTTTTTCTGGGACAGATCGAAGGGTTCGTCCTGACCGATGCGGGACAGGATCCGCAGGGGGCCCGAGAGACACAACCGACCCTGGCGTCTGCACACTAAGAGGATCCACACACAAAAACAACATCACACACTGCAAAAAATGCTTGTATTACTCTGAGTTTTTGTCTTGATTGTAGTCCAAATATCTAATAATTATAAAATGAAAAAGCATTTCGTGGCCAAGTAAACAATAGTTGTTTTATTTTCAGAAAAAATGAGTCAAAATGAAGCGAGTTTGTCCTTAAAACATGCTCAATAATCTTTATCAAGTCTGATTATAAAAAATAGAATTAATTCATGTTTACTATTAGAGGCTGGAGATATTCACACACTGCTGACACACAACTGGGTTTAAACCCTTCATAAACGGGATTTTTGCATAATAGGCCCCCTTTTGACATCAATAATTTTAGCTTCTCAAATAAACACATCTTGATATATAGATATTCTGAATGTAAAATGAGTCAGTAATGTATTATTAAGTGTATCTCACCGCGAGCATCCAGGCCCTGGTCCATGATGCCGTGCTTGATCTTCATGTGGCGCGTCAGGTTCCCCTTCAGCGTGAACTTGCTGGCGCAGTAAAGGCATTTGAAGGGTTTGCTGTCAGAATGCAAGTGCATGTGGCCCATCAGATTATGCATTCTGTTAAACTCCTTTCCACACAGCTGTAAAGAGAGTAACTATTCAGATGTCTGTGATCTGATCAAGTGCTTAGCTTCATACGCAGACACGATGCACTCAGAAACATGCTCTTCATTCCTGCTGATGGTATGTTAGTCTTACGGATGTCTATAATCTAGTGTGCTCCAAAACCAACTCAGTCTCCTGGCAATTCATAACTTTTTGATTTATTGGCTAATTCGTATGATTTCATTCATACAGTTTAGTATGATTTGCTTATCTCCAATGACGGTTTGGTTTAGGGGAGGGGTTTGGTGCCACGCCTCCTTTTTTAAATCGTACATTTTCATATGACTGAACGCGAATACGGAAAAAAAGAAAACAATTACATATTTTGCGTTAGGAAGATTTAAACTTGATATAACCATCCAAAGTTTGCAGTTTGTCACTTCCGACCAAATTAATTTTTGACGTCACTTACATATACTTCAGTGTCTCATTAAGTCAGCACGTAACCTCAAAGGGTTAAACAAATAGCGCACAGCACTAGTACGGTTACAGAAAGGTTTGCGCTGTTATAATTCACTTACCTTTTGATTTTGGTGCATTAATAATCAGCTATTAAAAACAACAACAACAAAGACTGAATGTTTTGATTGAGAAGCTGTAATGTAGCCGTGGAGGGAAGAATGAAGAATGAATGTAGCGGAAACCATGATCATACGTTATAAGTGCTAATAAACCAACACAATCTCACGGCAACTATTTAATTCAGTGGCTAATTCGTATGAGTTTGTACGATCTAGTTCGTACAATTTAGTACGATTTGCTCAGCCCCCAATGACGGTTGGGTTTAGGGGTGGGGTTAGGTGCCACGCCTCCTTTTTAAAATTGTACAATTTTGTATGACTAAACTCGTACGAATTAGCCACTAAACTGGCAAAACGTAAAATACTTATGTTTTCTCGTGAGATCAGGCTTAATAAATGGTTAATATCAGGCAGGATATAAACCAGAAGTAAATGAAGGGTGTGAATTGTTACTTAAAATAAAGTGTTATCTGATATTTTTACTGGTCTAGAAAATGTTTCCTGATTTAAGAATGTTTAGATATTTGGACATGCTCTTCATTCCTGCTGATGGTTATTATTTACCCCTCAATGACCTCAATGGATATTTTCACTTTTTATACATGTTCCCTTCATCTCAGGGCTATGAAACTCTGCAACAAAAAATGGACTTCATTCGTTTGTTTTAAAGGTGTTAAAAAAAATCAGGTTCCTTAGTTTCCTCGTTTAGGTTCCCCACATTGAAAATGAATGAGAAATTTTAATCCTATTATGAATCTGAGAGGTTTTACATTTCTGCAAAGGCTTGTTTTCACTCTGATATAAGTCTATTTTGGAAAAACTCTTAATTTTTTTAATTTTAGTTTTAATTTTGACTCATTATTTCTGAAAACAAAACAAGTTATTTAGATATTTGGACTAGAAACAAGACAGAAAGTCTAACTAGGATTTTTTTTTTTTTTTTTTGCAGCGTAAACAACCCTGTTATACAATTACAAATGCTATAAATTGAAATTTGGGCTGGATAATTATCAACCTACAGAGCAGACCCGTAACCAGGGGTGTTCGGGTGGTTCGGAAGACCCACCCCTCACTGACAAAGGTCCAGAATTTGTCTCATACAGTACATAAGCTCATTTGTCCTATTTGGACTGCTACACCATCATAAATAGTGAAAATAACCCATTGAAAAAGGCTTTAAGACCAAGCGGAATCCTGTGTTGGCTGTCGCTTTGGCATGACTTTAGCTAATCAGTTTTGGCCAAAGCTAACAAATATTTAATAATCTGACGTAAAAGAAGTTTTCTCTCACTTATTGTTTTTAAATAGAGAAAACATTTGACGAGTAACTTTTATTCTAAATCTTGGACCTAATTCTTGAAACAAAATGGACCAATAAAAAGGTGTGAAGCATCAGAAGTGACCCATATTAAATTCATTTGAATACTATTTTGAATACTATTTTTACAATTTTTAGTTGTTATGCGTGAATTAACAAATTTACTTTGTTTTTGTTTTTTTTTACATAAGAGGCTAGAAAAATTGTGAAGCTCAGCACAACTATTATTATTATTTATTATTATTATTATATTTTAATTATTTTTTTTCATCCAACTAGCTAAGCCAGCAAAAAATACTACTTAAAGTGTCACTAAAATGCAGTATTTAAATCTCATAATTGAATAGAGAATGGGGCATTTAAAGATCCAATTTTTGAGAAAATAGAATCACCCCTTTCACCAAGCTGACTATGGGCCTGCAGAGTCTAGACAACTGAACTGCAGTGGTTTTATCTAGACCAGTGTTTCTCAACCACATTCCTGGAGGACCACCAGCTCTGCATATTTTCCAGGTCTCCTTAATCAAACACACCTGATTTAGATGATCAGCTTATTAGCAGAGACTGAAGGACATGTCATGGGTGTGACGGACAAAGGAGACATCCAAAACATGCAGTGTTGGTGGTCCTCCAGGAACGTGGTTGAGAAACACTGCTTTAGACTAACTTAAAAACCTAGTATATATTTCAAGTAGTATATTTTGCTGCAAAACTGCAGAGTTTTTGTCTTGTTTCTAGTCCAAATATCAAAAAATTCTAAAATCAAGAAGCATTTTCTAGACAAGTATAAATCATTGTCTTGTTTTCAGAAATAAAGAGTCAAAAAAAAAAGGCTAAAAAACTGCAGGTTAACTATATTTATATATAGTAACTTGTGTATTTGATGTAATTTTAACCTAATTTGATTGTAATGCAACAATGTGCACCTGTGTAAAGCTGCTTTGAGACTATAATTATTGTAAAAAGTGCTATACAAATAAACTGGAACTGAATTTTAAATATTTAGACTAGGTGGCATGGTGGCTCAGTGTTAGCACTGTTGCCTCACAGCAAGAAGGTCGCTGGTTTGAGTACCCGATGGGTCAGTTGGTGTTTCTGTGTGGAGTTTGCATGTTCTCCCCGTGTTGGCGTGGGTTTCCTCCGGGTGCTCCGGTTTCCCCCACAGTCCAAACACATGCGCTATAGGGGAACTGATCAACTAAATTGGCCCTAGTGTATGTGTGTGTGTGTGAATGTGAGAGTGTATGGGTGTTTCCCAGTACTGGGTTGTGGCTGGAAGGGCATCTGCTGTGTAAAACATATGCCGGAATAGTTCATTCCACTGTGGTGACCCCTGATAAAATAAGGGACTAAGCTGAATTAAAATGAATGAATGAATATTTAGGCTAGAAACAAGACAAAATCTCTAAGTAGGAACAGCAGTTTTGCAGTGATTAAGTTGCGTGAATTTCTCACTATTTATGTCAGGATATTTTGTTTACAGTTTCTTTGTCAAAATATCTAATTATTGCTTGCCACAATACATCATAAGGCAGTGTAAAGTCTGTGTTTTCTCTGAGGAGTATGAAGGAGTCTGAGGAGCGTTTCTGTCCTTCCTCTGCATGCTTTTTTTATTAGGGTGGTTCTTTCCTTTCCTTCAGGAGGATAGAGGGACTGTAAACTGTCCGAACGGACCGTGAGAAAACAGGAAGTGCTCCTGAGCGCAAGAGAAAGCGAGATGAAATCTATTTACAGGGCTTTTTCTCTGGGGAAGACGGAGCCATTGTTACACAGCGAGTTTGTGCAGCGATATCCTTCCTATAGACGAGGAGACACTCAACTGCCAAAAAACGTATCTGGTCATCGTTCGGACCAGCCCAAGGTCACACGCATACCGAAACAACCCAGAACACCAACTATACATTCAATTGAGCTCAATCACATCAGTTCATCATCAAGCAATGCTCTTCATGCTGAAAGTTTTCGTCCTGTTTCTAGTCTGAATATCTGAAAACCAAGACGCATTTTATAGACAGACAAAAACAAGCGGTAAGGAATGTCGAGTGCGGACGCAATAATTGAATAAATGAACGACAGGAGAAAAGAAAAACTTCTCAGCGTAGTGATTAATATTTGATTTAATAGGCAATAAAAAAGTTTTTATTCTTATTTTATTAAGTTATTTATTAGTTGTTTGATTTTTTTGAGAAATAATGATTAGGCCCACACGGAATCTGCACGCGCATATTTCTGCAGATTTTTAATCCATTATTAATTCTGTTTATTTACTTGAGTAAATGTGTAAATCTGAATTTATTCAGTTTTTATTCAGTATTTTATTACTTTTTATTTCATATATTAGGGTTTTAGTTATGATACTCCCAAAATAATTCCGCAGAAATCCGCAGATTTTTACCAAAATTCCCAGCAGAAATAGCAAAATACATCCGCAGATTCCGTCTGGCCCGGTTAATGATCCAATATTAAGAGAGTTTTTGTTTAATACGAGTGATTACACTTGACTGTGGCTGCATCCGAAACCGCATACTTCCATACTATATAGTACGCTAAAATCAGTATGCGAGCCGAGTAGTATGTCCGAATTCATAGAATTCGAAAATCAGTAGGCGAGAAGTACCCGGATGACTTACTACTTCCGGCGAGATTCCAGAGTGCGCATCCCATGATGCCCTGCGAGCGAATTCATGAATGGAAGTAAAGTGGCGCAACTGACGCAGGTAGGTCACGTGACCATGACAAAATGGCGGATGTAGTACGTCCGCATAGATATATACACTAGATATCACATAGGGAACCTGAGCATGCGTCAATAGCGCCGCCACATTGGTACAGTGCTCCCAGGACAAATGTCATTCAACCGCACTAGACAAGACAGTGTTATTACATGAAGATGCGGGACTTTAGCGCTGTCTACATGTGTAGTAACGAGCAAACAAAGAAAACAAATCACAAAGGCAGAACATTTCATAGGTAATATTAGTTTTTTCTGTTTTTGTATGTTCTGAACTTTTGTGTTAATCAGGTAACGTTATTGATGATAACAGTCACTTACTGCATTCACCATACGGCAAAGCAGCTCCAACTCGCACTAAACACTCGGCTTATGCTAGTTTTGTTGAATAAAATCAGCAAACAATGCAAAAGAAATATGACAACGAGATGCTGCGCTGCCAGAAACTTGTGTTATTGTCGGCTAACGTTAGTGAAAGAGTCGTTCGGGGGATTCATTCACAAGCGAATCGCTCCCTCCGTCAGTATGAGCAGTGAAAGCAGGAGAGGAGCTGTGTTTCAGGACATGATTAGATCAAATTTAACAGGGAGGGTGAATAGTACATTTCTGTACACACAAACACAAGCTTTTTGTCAGGAATGGCCGTGCGGTCACTGATCCATCAATGTAGAAAAGTGATGTCAAATTATAATTTTCATAATTAGAAAAAAACATTACACACTAAGATCCAGGAAAACTCCCGATCATAGATATATGTGTATATGTGTATATCTCTGGCTCTGGATGGCCACAGTCCTCCACTGTACCTTGGTCCCGCATTCATTTCAAAGGAGCGCTACCCTGTAGCAAGATGGCGGCGCTATTGACGCATTCCGTCCAATAGACAACAATAGGCCAGGCGACATCCAGTGTACATATCTATGGTACGTCCGAAGTCCATTCATACTTTTCACATTCATACTGTATAGAACGTACTTTTCTAACGGTCGAGTAGTACGTTTAATTTCAAATGCAGTACCTACTGAGTAGTAGGCGGTTTCGGACGCAGCCAATGACTTGGCTAATTACCCTAACTTTACCCTAATTACCCTAGTGAAGCCTTTACATGTCACTTTAAGCTGAACACTAGTGTCTTGAAGAATATCTAGTCTAATATTATGTGCTGTCATCATGACAAAGAGAAAATAAATCAGTTATTAGAGATGAGTTATTAACACTATTATGATTAGAAATGTGTTAGAAACATTTAGGAGAGCTAACAATCCTGACTTCAGCAATATGTGGATGTAAACACAGCTGTTGTAGTGTGTGATACTGCAGTGACGCACCTTGCATTTGTAGGGTTTGATGTCGGAGTGGACGATCATGTGAGCCTTGAGCGTCTGTTTCTGCACGAAGCTCTTGTAGCACAGCTCACACTGATACGCGCGGATGTTGGTGTGGATCAGAACGTGGCGCTTCATGTTGGCCAGCAGTGTGAACTCACGGCCACAGATGCGACACTTGTGCTCCTTCACTCCCTAACACAAACACACACACACATAGAGAGAGAGAGACATGAGAAACCCACACAAAATACATACATATATAAGAAACACACACACACAAACGTACGCAAGAAAACAAACATGAGACACACAGACACACACACACACACACATATGAGAAACACAAAAGGACAGACAGACAGACTCACACACAACCACAAGAAACACACACAGACAGACACACAAA